TCACCTTTGTATATCAGCGTATTGTCGATAAAGCGACAACTCTCGCAGATACCGATCCCACTCGGCTAAACTGGCGCCTCTGCTTGGTGCAGTCGGTGCTTGGTAATCACTTGCATCTCGCTGAACCCTTGCTGACAGCCTCTCATCCCAGCAAACCACCATACACACCAGCGAAGCAAGGAGTAAAATAGTTTTCAGATCCATGGTGTGGAAATTCTTCTAATGACTAGAGGCGCAGAGGAACGTCGGAAGTATATATGCTGAAAGCAGGCAATCATGCGGCAGATTTAAAGGTGTGACAATCCGCACATCAGGTCTGATTTTACGTACGTATGCGTCAAATTTAAGATCATTGGTGTCATATGTTTGTATTTGCGTAGGCCAAGTGTTTTACGACAATAAAATTGTAAATTACGTGTATCGATCGCAGGGACGATTAATTGTCTGGGTGCTATCTGATGAAGTGATGCCTAAAGACAAATAGTCCACACTCGTAGTCATCACATTATCTCCGCAAATGGAAAGTTAGTAGTCCCTGACGATGCGGGGACATCACTAACATAGTTAATATGCAATTACGTTTTTTTTCTTAGGGTTAGTGTAATTGCTGCAACAGCGACTGGTCATTTTAAAAACTCTCGATGCCCCAGTCCCACTTTACATACACTTCAAACGCGATTTGTATTACCGCTGAAAGGTCTTCTTATGATATACACGATTCAATAATAATCAACAAGTATTATATTCCATCTACCTGTATATGCTGGTGACTCTGTATCCGCCAGGACGTTAAGTTGGTTTATTTATCCGCTCCCAGAGTGCATTGTTTTGATGATTTTCATGCGTTTCACAAGGCTTCTAATTAGTCATAGATGTACGGAAGCAATTATGTAAAACTCTGTATCCGTGTTTTCTCGTCAATCGATATCACCTGGTCACCCCACTGCATGCCTTTTTTCTTATAAACAGCAAATTCATGGATATTTGTAGTTACTAGATATATTTGTTGATACCGCTTACTGTATGCTTGTTTTTATAATTATTAAATGTGTTTATTTATTTCGTTCTCACTAAACCTCGATTTTGAAATTGATAAGCTTTATAGCTGTCGATGAGTTCGGTTGTATTACATAATCATAAAATGAACCACGATGGAGCTGCTAAAAGGTGCAGTTACCGTGGAAACATCTATTAAGTTTGGACGGAAAATGGATTTATTGCTGTACTCACAGAAATAGAACCCACTGGAAAGCAGTATAGATAATAGGTGTATATATTACCCACTTGGTCGCTCGCATTAACTCTGTCAATAAATCCGAACGCTTTTTGTATATTACATTTGCATACTAGTATTACAGTTGGGTATCATGTATATAGTTGTTGGTAAATAATTGAACACAGAAATGCGTTGGTGGTAATATATTATTGACTGCACCATAACACGGAGAGGAGATATAATTTGTTTGGGGGGAGGCAAATTATTGCATTATAATAAACTTTTTCATTTGCCAAAGTTCAAACATTCTCGTGATTTTTCGATGCAATAATGTTACAGAACATAAAACTTAATAAAGACATTATTTTAGTGAAATGTACATCGGAGACGATCACGGACACATGTTATCTGATTCAATCGCCCACGAATCTCTGCATTACTGGTGCGCAATTGTGAAACGTTCAGTTGCCAGATGTCACAGATAATTCATACATGATTTTAGTTATATATATATATATATAGTTTATGGCTTTGTGTGTTGTCCAAATCTGTACAGTTATCTGTGAGTCATGTCGGGAGTATGATTGGAGTGATTAGGTAGGTTCATGTGGCGTCAAGTCTAGTACATTTCAAACAGATTATGTGGTATTGATTATTACATTTAGATGTAATCAGATTTCATTACAAAATAAACCACGATTCCGTGCCCATCGTTCGCTCGTGCGGTTTCCTATCCGTTAAGAAAAGTTAAGCTTCAATGATTAGTTGAAACTGTCCCATATCATTCTAAAATATACTCCTAAAAAAACAGTCAGTACTCATCAAGTCATAATAGAATAGAATAGAATAGAATAGAATAGAATAGAATAGAATAGAATAGAATAGAATAGAATAGAATAGAATAGAATAGAATAGAATAGAATAGAATAGAATAGAATGAATAGAATAGAATAGAATAGAATAGAATAGAATAGAATAGAATAGAATAGAATAGAATAGAATAGAATGTACATACTAACACATTTTTCCAAGCATACATATATATAAAGAATCCGTTTCCACTTTTACAAAACTGTTTATAAGATTAGGGTACGATTTGAGGTGGAAAATTCACACGAATGAGTTGATCTCAGAAATAGCAAAATAAACGTACATTTGTGGAAGTAGTAGAAATGTTTGAGCCTGTGAACTGAACTGAATGGTTAGTTAGTATTTTGTTTTGGGGCTGTTTTTCCAGTGTCCTAGAATCTTTCACAGAACGTGAATTTGCTATTATGATTAGCGAGATAATCTCGCCTATTTCCACAGTTGAAAGTGTCCTATGAGTCCATTGCGTTCTATGATGCTTTTGAGAAGAATGATTTAAATGTTCGCGCATAAAGAACGTACGCTTAATAGTATCATCATTGCATCCCCATATATATATCTGAAATACACATAGAAATCTTTGATGTTGCATGTGCATACCGTTATAAAACAAATATCAAAAAAACAATTAATTTTATTTTATATCAAATATGTATCCCTTTGTTGATGTTTTTGCCATGCCTACAGTTCATTTTGGTGCTCCAAGCCTTTTCCAATTTTCGAGAAAATAACTTGCATTGAAGGGTTTATTAGGAAATATGAATAAAAACAAATAGATGGTCTCCGTCACTTGACTATTAAGGGTCATACACGGAACAAAGGACTGATGGTGTTAGTTTAGCAATAAAACGGCCTAATGTCCTAATGTGAATTTTACGATCAACTTCACGACGAGCACTCTCATTGTAGAAAATGAAATGGTAATAAAAAGGTTATTGACCTTTGCACCAGTGATAATGGAATTGCTGAAAAACCTTTGATTCTGATAAAATAAGTATAGCAACATGAACGAGTGGCCATAATTTCTTGTGGCTGTCTGTTCCGCGAAATTAAACTTTCACATTTTGAAGTAACACTCCAAACCCTATACTGTACATATAATATCACCTACCACCTACAAACTACCAGAGATTAGAGATGTTTATGACGTCATATCTTTACATTATATCACGTTAATGTATACATCTATTTGCAAGTTAATTCAATTCAACAACAAAATTCCAAATTCATTTAAATTTGTTTGATTCAGATGGATTTTTTTCTGATAACAGTTTTCGCCGGTTATTGTTGTCAGGTGGTAAAAAATCCCGCTCCCTGGTATGCAAGGCCTTCTCTGATTGTTTGACTAGTCTAGATATTTGAGATCTCACGAACGAGATATTCTATGGTAGTTAAACTAAAATCTAAAAAAAATAAAAAAAATAGAACAATTAAAAAAGAACGAAAAAAAGCCTCCCATAGAAAAACACAATAAAAAAATTTCTTCTTATCAAATATAACGGTGTTGTTAATTCGTTGTTTGAATGGCGATGTATATGCAGTTACTCCGATGTCCTATTAATTTGTTTTCCGATGCCCTATTTAAACAGTTTTCAAAATAGAGAAATGTGCATTTGTGGGGGATTACATGAACCCGCGTCTTGTTATATATTGCGATTGTTGTATAAAACCTATACGTACAGGGAAGTAAAACTATATATTTTCTTATAATTCATCGAAAAAATACTGCTATTTTTGCAACTAATGCAATGACCTCGACATCGTAGTATCAGATGTTTTAAGTGATATAAGTTAATTAATATACAAACTTCAGGGTATTTTCAGCTTTTTTGATATGTAAAATACGTCTTAAATAAATATGTCTTTATCCTCACATCATATCACACTAATAACGCGTATTAATCATATAATAGGTGTTATTATATTATAATAAAATCTTATTCCAATGCTGGTACGAATAGCACACCTAGTGCTTCTCGAGCAAACGGAATGTTCTATTGTAGGTAATGTACACTGAGTATCCTGTTCACGAGTCTGACTAGTTTTTATAAATCTGTTTGTCCTCATAAATTGTCCTAGGAGCGCTATGCGCCTTGTTCTCATAAATTGTTTTAGGACTTTTATACGAGATCACGCGACATCAACGATTTAACACTGACCATGTTTTACAGTTTTACAGAAGAAGACACAAACGTCGAACTCGGAGCTCACTGCGAAGGTATCTGACAGAGACGCCGCTCATTCCGGTCATATACGAAACAATGTATTAATCCTCCCCACGATAAAATGTATCGACCTGCGGCCTCGTAGTCGGCCTGGCCTGTTCAGCTTGTCCGTATTAAGGGGAATGGTAAATGTTATTGTTGTTATAATTTTTTTTTTGAGATTTCAATAACTCTAAATAACATTTCTTCATTTGATATGTTCACAATTATTCAAATTAGGCCTCAGTAATCTTTTCATGAGAAATATATGTTCCCGTTTCTTTTCAAATTCATTACTGTGAGAAGGCAATTCACGATGCAATGCACCAAGACACGCACGACATTCTTCATTGGTTTCCTCGTTCGTATGTGTATGATATTATCGCGTCGCCGAGATTGGTCAAGCAACTAGTTACCTATCGATAGAGTTAATTGCCTCATGTAACTGTTATTATCATTGCGTTGCGTTTTTCTAGTGATTAAATATCGCAGCTAGTCGCTCAGCTCTTCTCAACAGGAATTACGTGACTACATACATGTATTTATCTCATTCAGAATCTATGTATGAGTAACTTCCATGCCCACATCTTCTCGTGTAATAAAACTAATATTTTTACTGACAAAAAAACCTAAAACACGCATAAACGATGTGTAATTTACATGATACTTCCCTAATATAAACATTTCTATTATATTAACTTCCATAATCAGGTTGTATATTTCTGTATACAGTCGTGGTCATCTATATTTGTTTACATGTTTCGGTCAGTCACAATTGTTGATACGTGGTTTCATTTTATTAATTTAGTCTAGATGTAGACTCTATTATATATTATAACTGTGTTTAACATAGGGAAAATATTGTTATGAACAGTAGGTTGGTGTGACGACAAACTCATTAAGTAGTGTACCGCGAATAATAAGTACCACGAGCAATATAACATTAAAAGTATACTGT